CATTATAATTCCATATTTCCCACCTATCTTGCTGTAATTCATTTTTTATTATTCAGTAATTGTTCTCAGTGTTGGGTGTTTAACACCACCATTATCAGAGCTATTATTATCACCACCACCACCACCATCATTATTATTAGTATTTTTAATTAGTAGCTTTCTGATCACATCACTTAATTTAGAGAAGCTAACGGGTTTACTGACATAACTTGTAAATCCAACTTCAATGCATTTTTTTGCAACATCTGCCATCACATTTGCGGTAAGCGCAATTATTGGGATTTCTGGTCCGTTCGGTAAATTCTGTTTTTCCCACGCTCGAATTTCAGTTGTTGTCTCGTATCCATCTATAAATTTGCGAGAAATTATCAGTATAAATTTTATGTAAATTAATGAGATCAAAAAAAAAAAAAAAAAACAAACCTTTAACGGGCATGAACAAGTCACACTATAATTAAAATGTTGAAATTAGTCAAATATATTTGATATATTGTAATAGCAATATTGTATTTTATCTAACTTACCAATATTAATGAAAAATAATCATGATCTTGTGCATAAAACTTTTCCAAGCATTGAGCACCATTATCGACAACAGTAACTTCTAGTCCCACTTTAGTGAGATATTTTGTCATCACTATTCGACAAGGAAATTAACTTATTTATTTATTACTCGCTTTTTTTTACCCAAAATAAATAATAATTGAGAATTACCTTTCTGATTAACAAAATTATCCTCAACCAATAAGACTCTAAACCCTTTATCACCAACATCATCCGCCATGCGTTTAAATACTTCTCTTTGAGATGCAACTATCTGGTGCGTATTTCTGCGTTTTAAGAAATTATCCCGTACCGTAGTGGTATGATCAAATAAACCTTCCATTTTGGTTCTGTTAAGAGGTTTGAAAATAAAATCAACACGTTCTGGTAATTCATTACGTGCACCCTCCATAATACCAGCACGTTGAATTGGAGTGGTTAATATTACAGTAACGGCAAGCGAAAGATATGTCAAATTTTTGATTTTAGAACAAAGCATAATAATATGATCTTGAGAAGCTAAGTTTATGAGAATGTGAGTGTAGGACTTTATTTCTGTGCTTGTGAGTCGATCATTAGCTTCTTCAAAGCTGCAAGTGATATCAATATCGGGTGTAGTCGGTGTTTTAGGAAGAATGGAATGAACATAATA